GTATAGGTGATACTGTGAACAGTCTATGAGATGCATAGGTGTATAATATGATATGTGAATACTAAGGACGGTCTATGAAATGTATATGTGTAAAAGAAGGGAGGAAGGTGCCACTTTCATTGGCCTTATTTGTACAAGTTGTTACGATTACATTATATTACATGTTCTACGTATAGTTCATATGATCCTAAAAGATGTTTAGAATGATGCAAGTATAATAAGACTTGAAATGTGATCCTATGGGATGTTTCGTAGTTTCTTGATGTACTTTATTTGCCTCTTATTTGAGTTACCGTATTTTCATATGCTATTTTGACTGCCTTACATACGAGTTCTATTCCACGTGTACTCACGTCCCTTTTGCCGGGGGCGCTGCATCTTTTAATGGATGCAGGTATACTCAAGATGATATGGATCTTTGATTGGGATCTTCTTTACTACTCGGCTTATGGTGAACCCGCTACAGTTCTAGTGGGTATTTGAGTCTAGTTGATTTTATGTATTTAGGTATCTATTATCATAGAAGCTCCATGTACAATGTGGGTCATGTAATTAAAGATTTGAGTTTTGTCATGTGTTTATGTTCATATTTATTTATGAGGCTACTCACCCATCATGAGAAAGATTGTAGGCCATTGAGCCAAATGTATTCAATTTAAAAGTCATGATCTAATAATGTTTTGGTAAATTATGAATGAGTAATGATGAGAGGTTAATGTAAATTAGGCTTTCTCGACTGGGTTTACTCAGTTGAGCGCCGGTCGCACTCCTCGAGTTTGGGGCGTGGCATGAAGTGGAGCAATTGGATGTGAAAACTGCATTTTTTCATGGAGATTTGAAAGAGAAGATTTATATGGAGCAACAGGATTTGAAGTAGCCTAAAGAAACACATGGTGTGCAAATTGAATAAGAGTCTTTATGGATTGAAGCAAACACCAAGGCAGTGGTACATAGAGTTTGACTCATTCATGAAAAGTCAAACTTACATAAAGACATATTCTAATCCATGTGTATACTTCAAAAGATTTTGTGACAACAATTTTTTTTTTTTTTGTATGTGGATGATATGTTAATTGTAGGAAAAGACAAGGAGTTGATCCCAAAGTTGAAGGGAGAATTGTCCAAGTCATTTGATATGATGGACTTGGGCCTAGCACAACAAATTCTGGGTATGAAGATAGTTCGAGAGAGAACAAGTAGAAAGTTATGGCTGTCTCAGGAGAAGTACATTAAACGTGTACTGGAACACTTCAACATAAATAATGTTAAGCTAGTCATCACACCTCTTGCTAATCATATGAAGTTAAGCAGGAAGATGTGTCCTACAACAATGGAGGAAAAGGAAAGCATGACCAAAGTTCTTTATTCCTCTGCTGTCGGAAGTTTGATGTATTCAATGGTATGCACTAGATCTGATATTGCTCACGTAGTTGGTGTTGTCAGCAGGTTTCTTGAAAATCCAAGAAAAGAATATAGGGAAGTAGTCAAGTGGATACTCAGGTACCTGAGAGGTACCGCGGGAGATTGTTTGTGCTTTGGAGGATCTGATCAAATCTTGAAGGGCTATACAAATGCTGTTATGGCAGGCGATATTGATAACAGAAAATTCACTACTGTATATTTGTTTACATTTTCAGGGGGGCTATATCATGGCAGTCGAGGTTGCAGAAGTATGACATACTCTCTACAACTGAATCGGAGTATATTACCGCTACTGAAACTGGAAAGGAGATGATATGGTTGAAACGATTCCTTCAAGAGCTTGGATTGCATCAGACGGAGTATGTCGTCTATTGTGACAGTCAAAGTGCAATAGACCTTAGCAAGAACTCCATGTACCATGCAAGGACCAAACACATCGACGTGAGATATCACTAGATTCGAGAAATGGTAGAGAATGAATCTCTAAAAGTCTTGAATATTTCTACAAGTGAGAATCCCATAGATATGCTGACCAAGGTGGTACCAAGAGACAAAATCGAATTGTGCAAAGATTTTGTCGGCATGCACTCAAGCTAGAAGTCTGGTGTTACCTCTTTCAGGTGAATGGGTGTAGAGGGGAATATTTGTGTGGTCCATCCCCATAAATGAAAGAAAGAAAAATAACGAAAAATGTCAGATACTATTCTGACTTATTGATTTGCAAATGTGCAAATTGTCAAATATAATATGCGTCAAACAAAGAAGAGCTTGGGTTCTCAACACTATAAAAGGATAGCTTCGGCTCTCATTTCTATACACCAACAAAGAGAGACAGAAAGAGTGAGGCATCACAGACAGGGTATAAGAAAATAGTCTGTGAGAAAAGAGAGTGAGCGATATTATAGTGAGGTGGGAATATCAAAAGAGGATTATTTCTTTTGAGTGTTGTAGTGGTCTTTGTAGTATTTTACTCGGACCTACAAAGTATAAAATTACTTGCTATAGTAATATCAGTTGCTCATCTCGGGGTTGTAGTTTTTTCCTTATTCAAAAAGATTTTCCACATAAAAACCTTGGTGTCGTTGTCACTTTTTTATTCTTGTTAATTACTGTATCTCGATGCTACGTTATTATTTCGCTTTTATTACCGTGAATATTATTTTTGTAGGGGGTTTATTTCCAACAGTTACACAATCATCTATCTTAAAAATTAAAATCATTATACTGTATACACTCTGGTATAAGGATAAACAACTATAAGCACCCTGACAACACAAAATACTAGTCCCAGTAATAATTTTGCCATGGACCTTCTCATCAAATTACTTACTTCACAACCACTTATGCCGAAGCTCTCTTCTCTCCCTCAAAAAGACAAAAAAAATAAAAGAAGCAAGAAATGCAGGGCCTTGAGCTGACCCCGTCACTACTCTACTGAGGTTAGACTTGTTTTCCTTTCGTGTTGTATAGCTTTTCTTGATTCTGTATTGTTACTTCCCGTAAATTCTTCATTGTTCACATCTCTATCATTTAATTATATCATTATATCTTGTGTTTGCTTCTTATTATCTCCAATAGGGCATTGACCTGACCTCGTCACTACTTTACCGAGATTAGACTTGGCACTTACTGGGTACCATTGTGATGTACTCATACTACACTTCTCCATATATTTTGTGCAGATCCAGGGACATCCTATCAGCCTCAGTGTTAGCGCGTTGCGTGGCTTGCTTAGTGGAGACTTCAAGGTACACCTGCCTGCGTCCGCAAGCCTCGAAATCCCCTTTTATCCTGTTCATTTCTTGTTTCTTTACATCTTTGTAGACAGTGATGAATAAGAGTGTCCAGTACTGTATATAGAACTTGTGACTTGTATTTACACCAGGTTTTGGGAGATGTACGTATTGAGTTATAGATTTCATTTCATATAGTTGTTGATGTTTTGAGATTAAAATTATTATTCTGTTATACCGCATGTTTTGTTAGGCTTACCTAGTCTTAGAGACTATGTGCCGTCACGATATCCTACAGAGGGGATTTTGGGTCGTGACAACGGCAATTAATGCATATAAAGAAGGCATCAATTTAATGTAGTTCAGTCAGTATGACCTACATCCACAAGCGGAGAAGAGCAATTTCTCTATAGTAACAAGAGTACAAAAGAGCGTACAAAATTAGAGTAAATACTCTAATTAATCCCAAATACTCCACGAGAGAGTACCCTCACAAGATCACTCCAAAGAAAGGGGATCACACAAATATTTTCCAACATTCAACTCTCTTACAAAATAGTCTCAATTACTAAAGGAGGAGAAGAAACAAGAAATTAATAACTCTAATCTTGTTGGTGCATTTTGAAATGAGTAGAGAGTGCTCATTATATAGAAAAACTGGAAAGAAATATTTGGCCAACAATTGGCCACATCCTCTCAAAATACAAGGTAATTTATTTGCCAACAAGACCTTAAATAAAAGGCTCCAAATATGCCAACAAGGCTAACAAATGAAAAGCCTAAAAACAAGGCCACCTTTTACAGAAGCACCCAAAACTGTTTAACTATATCCAGTACGGAACGCACACCCACAAACACACCCATGTCGTGTCGACATGAGTATAGCGGACATTTTGAAAAGTCCGCGCAACATATATTACAGCTAACTCTTTCTAGATATAAAGTCGGACAGAAAAACAAAACGACTGTGTCAAAAGGTATAAACCTAGCGTGACTTATATTCAGGATTTCTTATCCTCACCGATAATAGGTTTTGAAGTTATGTTGTTCTGAACACAATCCAAAGCCAGATAACTGATAATAGTGTCCAAACAGGTAGTAACTGATGATACTGGCTATACAAAGGCTTCACCATCTAACCAAAAAGAAACATGGTTTCCCAATCCTACTCAGTTGTTTTGCAGTGTTTGCAAAAGATACTTTCATCTTCCACGGGAATGCTCAAAATTTTCTAATTTCATTTGTGGAAAATGTAGTGAATTTTGTTTTATTCTAAAAGGCGTATTTGCAGAACTCCACTTACAGAGAAAATTCTAATGGTGGGACGAATTTGTTATTAACAATAGATACTTTATCACTTGGCTTGAATCAATTATTCTTTCCCATTAGTAATTTCCTATAGTACCAAAATCCATATGTTCTAATATTTCCTGGCTCCAGAGAAGCACATCTTAGCAAAAACGGACATCAAAACTCGTGCTTCTGCATGCATAGATTGTAAAACAGACGAAAAAGAACAAAATGGTACAGAAACTTGAATTCTCGACATCAACTCAAGGCGAAAGAAGCAGAAAAATCAAAGAAATTTGTTTCTCTATTAACTCCAGTGAAAAAAACCTCCAGTATTTTACAACTAAAATATTTGTTTGAAAAGAGTCAGATAATCATACATATTTAATGAGATGTTATTTTGATGCATAATCCTCTCTACTTTCATCTTTAAAAGATAGAGTATCATTCTTTTACATGCATTGCAGTGTGATCATATTTTAGAAGTATTCACGGTTAGAGATTATTCATGAGCTATAAAAATTATGCAAAGTAATCCTACTCTAACATCAGTACTTAGCAAACATGAAACTTGTTTTTATTAGTTTTTGGCACAAGAAATTAAATAATTACCTTATACATTATATTGTATACACTCTAATACAAACCAGATAAGCATCCTAACAATACTAGAATACTAGTCCCAGTAGTATTTTTTTTTTGTGGACCTTCTCATTAAATTACTTACTTCACAACCACCTTGGTGTCAAAGCTTATTATTCATTTCCATAAAACGACACCTTACAGATCAGGGATTATATAGCTCGCCTTACATGGGGGTTTTATCTATGATGAGTACATGGGCGTGAATCCATTGATGATAACTTATGAGCGATGAAGTGCATTGTTGGCCTCGATTTCGGAGTTTCAACCAAACAAGAGCTTGCTAGATTGATGATAAAAACCAAAACCTCTTTTACTCTATCATCAGGATATGGAAGGCGTCCATCCAGCAAATCGCTAAGCTGCATATGATCTCTAGTCGATGAATTTGCTAGCAGAGTAATGTATTCCCCAAGATGACTTCCTTTGATTATCTCCAATGCTAATACTCCAAAGCTATACACATCACACATTTCTGTAACCTTCATTGTATATGCAAGCTCTGGAACAATATAATTTCCAAATAAGCATAACAATATAAATGAGTACACGAGATAAAAAGTATAGAGTGCGTGGCTATATATAAAAAAAAATGATTAAAAGTTAGATCTTACCAGGTGCAACATAGCCATATGTGCCTGCAAGCGTTGTGCAATAATTGGACGAGTCTGGCTTGAGAAGCTTGGCTATTCCAAAATCTGAAACACGAGCTTCATACTCGGAATCAAGCAAAACATTACTGCTTGATATGTCTCGATGAACAATCGGTGGTGAGCAATCCTGGTGCAGATAAGATAAAGCAAAAGAAACACCTTTGATGATATTCACCCTTTTTAGCCAATCCAAATTCTTGGACTCAATTTCATTGCTCAAGATACTAAACAGACTCCCCCTCTCCACATACTCGTAAACCAAGAACGAGTGTTGTGCATTCGAACAAAAGCCAAAGAGTTTCACAATGTTCCGATGCTTAATCCCAATCAATGCATTTACTTCATTCGTGAAGCTTTTGCAATGTGTATTCGCAAATAAAGAATGAAATCTCTTCACAGCTATACTCCCTAATGATGGAAGGTTTACCGTGTAAACACTTCCCTGCCCTCCTTGCCCGATGCAAAATGTTGCATCAAACTCCTCTGTGGCGTTTAAGATATCCATGTACAATGCCTTTCCATCTAACAAGGATATCGAAAACAAACCATCATCCTTTCTTTCAACATCTTTAACTTTCCTCCTTTATCACACATAAGAACACCAGTAAAAGCACAGAGAAGTACTAGTGCTCCCATAACAGGAAGTACAGTGGCGAGGATGAGTTTTCTTCTTAAGTGCTTCTTCACCGTCGAAGATGGCCTTTCGCAAGGCTGAAATCCTGTTACATTGCCGCAAAGACCTTTATTACCTTCTAATGAAGCATTCATAAAAGCTTTATTATTTGGTATTGGACCTTCCAACTCATTGTATGAAAAGACAACATCCCGCAAACCAGTCATACTTTCAAATTCTTCAGGAATGCGGCCAGAGAGGCCATTGTGAGAAAGATTCAACTTTTCCAAGTCCAGCAAACTGGCTAACTGAGAGGGTATTTCTCCATCTAGACGGTTATGGCTCAAATTAAGTACACTAAGGTGAGTTATCCTCACTATCTCCTTTGGAATTTTCTGGCCAAATTTGTTGTTGCTCAGGTTCAAGAGAAACATGTTCATATAATCTCCTATAAATGTTGGGATCGACCCGTTCAATCTATTATCTGACAGATCAAGGGACTCTAACTTTGTCAGTGACCCAAGTTCACTCGGAATATTGCCAGAAATGTGATTGTTCTGCATAAAAAGTTTAACTAGAGAGGCCAATTTTCCAAATTCTTTTGGAATCTGCCCAACCAAATAATTAGATGAAAGATCAAGTCCTAGAAGCCCTTTGACGTTTCCAATCTCTGGTGGTATGCTACCACTAATGTTATTTCTGGCTATCTGCAAATTTGCCAAATTCTTGCATTTGCCCCAGTTGCTGCTAAGTTCACCATAAAAATCGTTGTCGCTCAAATCAATGAACTGAAGCTCTGGATAGATACCAAAAGCTTCCGATAAATTCCCAGTGAAACTATTGTTATCAAAACGAACTCTTCTGAGACTCGAGCACTTGCTCAAGCTTCTTGGTATTGGACCCGTCAGCTTGTTACTATTCACCGTGAAGTTCACAAGTTTTCCACTTTGCAAAAATGCTCTGGCAAGTGGCCTGAAAACTGATTTTCAGTCATTGACAACATAACCAAGTTATCCAAATATGCAAGTTCTTTTGGAATGGAACCAGAAAGTTTGTTGGCGCAAAATCTCAGTCTTTGCAAGTTTCTCAAATTGCCAAATGAAACAGGAATTGGACCAGTAATCTGATTAACAGATAAATCTAGATCATTGAGATTTTTCAGATTCCCCAACTCGGTAGGAATGGGACCAGAAAGTTGGTTTGAATGAAGGTACATAGTCTTGAGCTTACTTAAGTCACATACCGTAACTGGAATTGAACCATTAAGCTGATTATCGGATAAGTTTAGACCAGTGAGGTTTTTCAGATTCCCCAACTCTGTAGGAATGAGACCAGAAAGTTGGTTAGAAAAAAGGTATAGAGTTTTGAGCTCACTTAAGTCACCAATAGTTTTTGAAATTGAACCAGTAAACTGATTATCAGATAAATTTAGATTTGTGAGGTTTTTCAGATTCCCCAGCTCCGTAGGAATAGGACCAGAAAGTTGGTTAGAATAAAGGTATAGAGTCTTGAGCTCAGTTATGTCACCTAGAGTAGTTGGAATTAAACCAGTAAGCTGATTTTGGTATAATGTCAGATCAATGAGGTTTTTCAAATTCCTCAACTCTGTAGGAATGGGACCAGAAAGTTGGTTAGAAAAAAGGTGGAGTGTCTTGAGCTTACTTATGTCACTTACTGTAATTGGAATTGAACCAGTAAGCTGATTATAGGATAATTGCAGATCAGTAAGGTTTTTCAGATTCCCCAACTCTGTTGGAATGGGACCAGAAAGTTGGTTAGAAAAAAGGTACAGAATTTTGAGCTCACTTAAGTCACCCACCGTAATTGGAATTGAACCCGTAAAATGATTATCAGATAAATCTAGACCAGTGAGGTTTTTCAGATTCCCCAGCTCTGTAGGAATGGGACCAGAAATTTGGTTAGAAAAAAGGTACAGAATTTTAAGCTCACTTAAGTCACCAATAGTTTTTGGAATTGAACCAGTAAACTGATTATCAGATAAATCTAGATCTGTGAGCTTTTTCAGATTCCCCGGCTCTGTAGGAATAGGACCAGAAAGTTGGTTAGAATAAAGGTATAGAGTCTTGAGCTCAGTTATGTCACCTAGAATAGTTAGAATTAAACCAGTAAGCTGATTTTCGTATAATGCCAGATCAATGAGGTTTTTCAGATTCCCCAACTCTATTGGAATGGGACCAGAAAGTTGGTTAGAAAAAAGGTACAGAATTTTGAGCTCACTTAAGTCACCCACCGTAATTGGAATTGAACCCGTAAAATAATTATCAGATAAATCTAGACCAGTGAGGTTTTTCAGATTCCCCAGCTCTGTAGGAATGGGACTAGAAAGTTGGTTAGAAATAAGGTACAGAATTTTGAGCTCACTTAAGTCATCAATAGTTTTTGGAATTGAATCAGTAAACTGATTATCAGATAAATCTAGATCTGTGAGGTTTTTCAGATTCCCAAGCTCCATAGGAATAGGACCAGAAAGTTGGTTAGAATAAAGGTATAGAGTCTTGAGCTTAATTATGTCACCTAGAGTAGTTGGAATTAAACCAGTAAGCTGATTTTGGTATAATGCCAGATCAATGAGGTTTTTCAAATTCCCCAACTGTGTAGGAATGGGACCAGAAAGTTGGTTAGAAAAAAGGTACAGAGTCTTGAGCTTACTTATGCCACTTAGTATAATTGGAATTGAACCAGTAAGCTGATTATAGGATAATTGCAGATCTGTGAGGTTTTTCAGATTCTCCAGCTCTGTAGGAATGGGACCAGAAAGTTGGTTTGAATGAAGGTATAGAGTCTTGAGCTCACTTAAGTCACATACCGTAACTGGAATTGAACCAGTAAACTGATTATCGGATAATTTTAGACCATTGAGGTTTTTCAGATTCCCCAACTCTGTAGAAATGGGACCAGAAAGTTGGTTAGAAAAAAGGTACAAAATTTTGAGCTCACTTAAGTCACCAATAGTTTTTGGAATTGGGCCAGAAAGATTGTTCATATGTAAGCTTAAATTCTCAAGCGACGTCATCTTCCCTATTTCTGCAGGAATGGGACCATTTAAATGGTTGTCAAAGATGGAGCGGGTCTGAAGCTTGGCTAGTGAGCTGATTCGTGGTGGGATTATTCCTGAAATCTGATTCATGGACAAGTCAAGATAGACAAGATTAGTGAGCTTTCCCACTTCAAGAGGGATGGTGCCAGAGAACTGGTTTATGCTAAGATCAACATATTCAAGATAAGAGAGAGATGAAAATGAAAAATCATAGAGTGTACCAATAATACCAGCATTTGTAATATTCAACCTGTTTACCCTGCCATTAACACATATAACTCCATACCAATCCATGCATGCATCAGAACTCGCCCCTCCAATGCTAGAAGAATTCTTGGCAATTAGTGTCCATGAAGCCAATAAGGAATTATTCTGGTTTTGGAAAGTCGCTTTCCATTTGAGGAGAGCAGGTGCTTCCTCAGTAGAAGCAAAAGAAACTGCCAACAAATATAAGAGAGTGAAAAACTGAAGTAAAGAAAATAATATTCTGGGAACCATCATCATGGCTAAAGGATGAAATTCAGTTGTTTGTTTTGGTTATTGTGCATGTTAGAGCTTTAATTTATATTGTAGTGAAATGAATCATTACAAGTCGTGCGAGGCAATGGCATTAATTTCTCAGCTTGTAAAATACGGGTAGAATTAGAAAGACTTGAAGTCAATGTTTCACTATCCTTGGAAGTATATACCCAAATCACTAGCTTAAAGTTGTGGAAATATAGTCTCCAGAATTATTCAAAAGACATTTCGTTGACGAGCTGATGGACATGCCTGTCAATGGTTCTATCATTTTCGCGGGCCATGTAATGTGGAATACTAGTTGCAAATTTTTGCTCAGACGCCCCCGAAGAAAAGTCATATACGTGCACTTAGGGGTGCACATGGACCAACTTGGTTCGGTTTTATTAAAATCAAATCAACTATATCAAATTGGATTGGTTCGGTTTTGTCGGATTTTCCGAGGTTTTTCGGATTTTTTTGTTAAATAAATATTATTTCAATCTTACTTTGTTAAATTTTTTATAAATAAATATATGTTTAATAAAAATAAAAAAAATTGACAAACATATGATCTATTAAACTATTCTTACGGGAGAATTTTCTTTGTAATACATGATAGTTATTTTTTAGTCGTCTGACAATACTTTTTCATTGATGTACACTTTCAAGGTTAACCGAAATTAATAATTAAACATAAAAATCAATATGATACTTATATAATGATATGTTCTATTTAATTTTTAATTATCGAAATACCACTTCAAATTCGAAAAAGAATAGTTCTTGACATATGAATATGGAAGACCAAAGAGATTGATGTATTTTCAGTAACACTTGATAAGAGAGTGATCATACAACCCATTATTTAAAGTTAATAAAAATGGAGCACTTCATATTTAACTAAATATTACATCACACAAGAGAATCGTAAATATTTCTCGACATTCTTTCAAGAAAAATCTGTAAAAAGTCTTAAAAGTATATATAAAAATTATATATTTATATGCCGGATTGGTGGGATATTTTTACTCAATATAAAATCAAACCAAACCAAACCTAATCGAATTTTTTAATCTTTTTGGTTTGACTTTTTCGGTTTGGTACAGTTTTCTAATTAGGTTTGTACACCCTACTTGCACTAATCGCCTCTCTCTGCTGCTTCCGCTGGCAGTTCAATTCTAAAAGGCAAGCATTTTTACGAGTTTGTTTTAATCCAAATGACTTATTGCTCCTGGGTCAAGTGTGGAGTTGAGTGAATTCTGGTAAATTATACCCTTTTTTGTAGCTTTATGAATCTACATCCTAAAAAATGCCTTGTCTAGTATGAGTGTTATTTTGGTATAAAGTGGTACTAGGAGTGGGTCAATTCTTATTTCAGAAAATAATTAATTAGGGTTCACTTTAATCCATAATGCTGTGGAAGTTAGGTACTCTGTTTATTCCTCGAATCCGGGGGAGGTACGTGTCCCATACATCCAAAATTATGGGGATTAGTTATTTTTATATCTAAGTTCTTTAACAGTTATGTATTGCTAGACTAGAAAGGAAAAGAAAAGCGTGTAACTGAGAAACCGCAAGCAATTCTTTGAGCTGGGTTTGGGTAAAGCAGTTAGGGACTTACGTGTACGTTGGTACTTATTATAGATGTCTCGTATATCAGACTGGCAATCAACTCTTTTATAGCTTTAGCAGTTTTAAATTTCCAACATCAACCTGGTATCTATCAAAGTTAAGACCATTAGAATAGGTCGTTCGAACCTTTTTGGGTTATTAAAGGAGTTCAACCATTGATTTTTCCTCAAACCTATTGAGTTATAGTGCACCTGTGTAAGTTTGTCCTTTATTGTTCATTAATTTAGCTTATAATATTAGTTTTCTCATTCAAATATAATATTGTCCTTGCATTTTTAGTCCATTGTTTATGACAAATCGCACCAACCCGATAATCCGAGTCAAACTGAGAAAAAAAATTCGAATATGGTTTGGTTTGATTTGGTTTGGTGTTCGAAAAAAAACGGACCATATTTGGTTTGGTTTGGTTTTAACTAAAAAGGGTCAAATCGAAACCAAACCAACCCGACATTATATGTATAGAAGTTTTAAATATATTTAATACATAAAAATATTTATGGTAGTATAGTTTATAAATATTTCTTAAGATTTTTCATAGTTTTATCTTTTAACGTATTATTTTAAGTTTGAGCTTATAATTTTTTGATACTCCAATAAGTTTTATAGTTCATAAATGTTAGTAACTCAAATAAATCCTAAACCAAAATCAAATCAGTACTAATGCTAATAAAAGACATTCAATTCAATTGTACTATGAATGAAAATAGTGTTGGATATATATTTTTTAATTTTTCCATGATTTAGATAAAATGTATAACTTATTTTTCTTTTAGTGGTTAGTCATGTAAATAATAGTACTTATTAGTCATAATTTTAAATAATGCTTGTGTTTACCCGAAAAATCGGATATAGTTAAATTTATAAGTAGTTCTAAAGATATGTGATATAGCTTGACATAAATCGTACGTAGAAGTGGAAATATTTTGATTCTTGGCTATAGAAATGGGATATAAATTGTTGAACTAGAAAAGTGAGTATGTTGAGTAAAACAGACTTAAGAGATTTATTCTTCAATAAATAGAAGTAGTCTTTTCAATGTGTGAAACTGCTTGTGCTTACAAGGATTCCCCCTTTATAGTAGAGGGATCTTACTTTATTTATAATAAAAAATATATAGTGAAGAACCCATGATGAATTGTCTCTTTCACGATTTCTGTCAAGATTCTCTCCCCTAGTGCGGTTGCAATGGCTCCTGTCTGCGAGCTCGATACTGGCTCGAGCTCAGTATTGGGTCGAGCCCTCGGCCTTGAGTTCGAGTTCACATTCGGGGTGAGTGTCAATCGGTCTGTGCATCTCCGACAACCTTCTCTTTGCCTTGCGGTTCAATTTGGTCATGGGCTTGATAATGATACCGAGCCGATTCCTCGATCGGTCTTGAAGCTCGAGGCTTGCTTGTACTATCCTCGGAATGCGTCTCGAGCTCTCACTTCGATCGCTTACCATTCGAACTCGATCAAACGTACGGAGGCCAAAATCTATTTCGACCATATACAGATAGTCCCCTCATTTCTCGGGAAGAATATGGTGAGAAGCGATATGATTTTCGACGGCCCGATCGGATTGTAAGCTGATGTTTTCATTGGGCTCGATCGTGACGTATGTGATAGTTGTCCCGTCGATTTAGTCTTTCAAGGTATTTAATGCACGTCAGACGGTGGTCGGCCACCGCTGATATTGAACCTCCACTGTATAAACCTATAAATAGCCCTTTCATTTATTATTTACCACTTTTACATCTCCAACCTCCCAAATTTTCTTACTCTTTCTGCCTCTATTTCGCCGCTTGTAGAGCCACCTTCATAAACCTTTCATCTTTCTTTGCTTTTCTTTCTCTTACATCAATGGCAAAAACTTCAAAAATCGTACCTCGGAAAGAGAAAGCTTCCTCTTCACGGTCGTCCGGCGACAAGGCTCCGGTGGAGCCGCCTCCCCATGAGTATGTTCCTGGCCCGTTTACTCTGAAGATCGATTTTAAGTTTGAAAATCCTTCATCGGTTCCGGGTCGATGTGAGCATATGTCGATGTACATGTGCTCGATATCAGAGGGCCATCTCGAGGCTGTGAGAAAAGACTGCAACTGGGGTCCCGAGGTTGTGTTGCAAATTCCCTCTCCCGAAGAGAGCGTCATCACTCATGTGGAGGGGTTTTCAAGTGTATATACTTACCCCTTCACGTTGGGTCCCGTCGACCCAGTGATCATTGATTTTTGCAAAAGATATCAGGTCACTCTCGGTCAAATTCATCCTTCTCTAAGGCGCATAGTGATCTTACTTCGCTTCTTCTCCAACAAGGCCGGGGGGGGGGGGCTGGATTTCACCTTAAATCACCTCATACGATTGTATCGGCCTCAAATATTTCGAGGACTAATCAGGCTTCATCGCCGGGTATCGAAAGCTTTAATGTCGAGCATCGACGAAGATAAGGATCGGAGTTGGATGGGCCGTTATATTCGGGTAAGGACCCGTGACCTCATTCCGGAAAAGAAGATATCGTTCCCCGAGGAATGGAATTTTGACTGTAAGTGGTTTTCATAAGGCGTTGCTTTTTTGTATCTTTCTCTGATTCTATCTAATATCTTTCTCCGATATACAGCTACCCCTTGGATGCCACAAGCGGTACCCGACCTCGAGGATTGGGTTCGGAAGTTAGCCTCGACTTCCTCTTATGCCGAACGTGCTTTGCGTTATTTGGCAAAAGGTAGATGGGAGGCCAAGAATCACGGTAAGCGTCACTTCTCGTGTTCTTTGAAATGCTTTTATGCTCCATTCCTTACCGACTTTATTTCATGCAGGTGTAACCAAGTATGCCGTTTTGAGGCCTTCGAGTGGTGAGGAAGGAACCAAGCCCCCGGTCCCGGAATCGGGGAAAGATAAGAAGCGGAAAGCTATCTCTCGGTCAGAGGACCCCAAGCCCAAAACTCGAAGGGTGAGGAGGAAGGCAATCGCACTTTCGACAAACTCGGTCCAGCGACTGAGAGAAGAAGAAGATGATGATGCCTCGGCTTTGGTGATCCGATCTGCGAAAGCTGTCGAGGTCGCCAGGCCTTCTGAGCCGATGACGGTTATACCGGTCGGGGTCAATTTTGATACCCCGAGTCTCGATCAGAGCGTCCCGAGCGATTCGCTCGGGACTATGATAGTGGGTCATTTGCCTTCTCTTCCGGCCTTTTCTGAGGAGGCATTAAAGGAAGCTCGAGAATTGAAGATCCCTGATATGGGCGGAGGCTCTAGTGTAGGGGACCCTTTTCGGGATTGCTTTACTAGAATTGATGATGCCTCCGACATTATTGACACTTCTCTTCTCCTAGAAGAGGCCCAACGTTTCATTTCTCGGGTAATGATTTTACTGTGCTTGGTTTCTTCGTTATTTTCTAAACTTGACTTGT